ATGAATTAAGCAGACAGTTAGGACTCTAGGCATGTGGTGTAGTGACAACAGGCATCAACAGTGAGGCTTTGTGGGAGTGTATCTGTAATCCCAGCACTCGGGAGGTAGAGGTAGGAGGAACAGGAGTTCAAAGCCAGGCTCAGCCACTAGAAAATCTGAGGATAATGAGTACAACATGACACTCTGTCTCAAAACACCACCCCAACAATTGTCAAGAGAGATTGTCTAATAATTGTCTAAAAATGCTTATCCATAAGGTCAGGGAAGACAAAGGCAGCATGGCTCAGCGTGTCTACACTATACATGTGTATTATTCTTAGTCATTTTACTGTCTTTTTGTTTAAATTGTGATTCTCTTATTTTACAAAACAATCAATACATGCTTTTTCCTTTAAATCCATTCTAATCAAGAAAAGGAAATAAATACTCTACACCGAATAAATGGTCAGGAAGGACTTAGGATTTCCAGCTGTCATTGACAGCTGCTTTGCGATTGTCAAGTCACTCAGCAACAGGCCTGGGACTCGTTCCACAAGCTGGGAATAACAATGTCACTGATTTGGGGTTTTGTTTGTTGAGACAAGGTCTCATGTAGCCCATGCTGGCCTCCCCCCTGCCGTGCTCCCCCACCCCCCCCACCCCCGTGTAGAGCCTCCTGCCCTCACCTCTGAAGTACTGGGGACTGATTGTAGGTATGTGCCACACATGAGGTTTATATGGTGTGGGGGCACAGATCCAGGTCTTTGCACATGCTAGACAAGCACTCTACCAACCGACTTACTTCTCTAGCTCTACAAAAGTTTTGCTAAGAAATGAAACACAACACAACATACAAGACACAGCAGTCCATTGCTAACGGACCATGACTTTCAAGACCTCATAGATGATATATGGGCTCTGTTTATAGAAGACCCTTTTCTTTTATGGCAACAACCATGTTTACTCTGAAGATCTATTATAAAATTATGCATTGTTTATTCTTCTAAAGGAGGCACAAGCTGCGCCATTGTTCTCCTGTTGGAGAGTAATTTAAATAAGCCCTCTGGTTTATGTTGCATACAAGGAGGCTTAGTCAGATCTAATCTTTTCTAAACCTGTTATGTCTTGGGTTCAGCAGAACGTCCTAATTGTCACCATTAATTCACCCTTTTTGTGGTCTATTCTGTCAATAGACTATTGAGTGTTTGGTAAATTGAAGCTGGACCAGCAGCCGGCACATGGAGACAGACGTTAAATCATGGCCTGCTTGCCTGTGCTCATTATTAGGATCTGTGAAATAGCTGCTAAGCCGGGGGGACAGGATTGAACATGATGCATGTTGCTATCCTTCTCAGGTTTCCATACTGTACAATCATGTATGTGAGGTTTCCCTTTTCTAGGCAACAGGTGTGTTCTTGGAACAAAGTTCAACCCCCCACTTTTGGCTTGCAGGAGCGGTGGCAGCTGCAGGCTTAACTCCAATGACACAGGGCTCTGTGAGGGTGCAGCCCCAAACTGCTTGTTCATGTTATTAAAGCAACAGGCAGATGGGCTCTGGCTGCCTGCACTTTTCTTTGTGTTACAGAGCCAGGGTCTAAGTTTTCAGATGGCGAGTGTTTCCCCGCTCTCGTTTATTGCTCTCTGCTTCTTGCTTCCCCTACGTTTTCTCTTCTCTCTCTCCTCTTTTCCTTTTCTCTCCCTTGTTCTCCTTTCTTTCTTTCCTTCTGGGCACTCCTCCGTTCTCCAGCCCTCCCCTAGTCCTTCCCCACCTTTCCCTTTTCAGTCTTCCCTTCTGTTAAAAATAAACACAGCACTTGTAAAACATTCCATGTTCATTATGGAGAACATATTTTCATTAGCGTCCCACTGTTTACAAGCTGATGTGTGGAGAGGAGAGAACCCTTCATTTACATCCAATTACACTTATACCTCACTTTGCTCTCAAAGGAACTCAAAGGGACTGTTCACTATACAACTGTGAGGCTCACTCCACAAAGCCACACTTCTGAAAATCATAAACTCGAGTACTTATTTTTAAGCCTCACTCTTCTCTGGCCTAAAGCTTCTTCCTAAGGTTTTGTAAGATATTATTAGCCAGAGATCAGATGTACAGTCCTACCCCAGAAACATAATGCCAACAACAACTGAAGGTCACAAGTTGGGAATCCCAGAACAGCATCATTGCAAACTTCACATTGGGGATACCACTCCTTTGTGCATTTGGCTTTCGGGTAGATTGTGCCGGCAAGCATGAGAAATCCAACACTATTTTGCTGTATATGAACTTTTATAGAAACAAAACCAACCAGAAATAAAAGGGTCAGTGTAAGGACACGAGTGTGACATTCACTGTCAGTAAGGAGTCTGTGGAAGTGGCTGTCTCAGAATATACTTCCCTGGACCTAAGATGTACTGAAGCTTCCCCCTTTCCATCTATGAGTATTTCAAGAGAGATATTTAATAACGGCGTAGGGCATCTGTGTCAGACAAACACACTGTGATGTGATGTCACCAGATGCCCCTGCAGGGCCAGTGCTGGATGTTGAATAAGCCAGCAGCAGGGGAGGAGAAAAGACAAAATCCTTCCCAGTTAATTTTCCTAACCTCAAACAGCTTTACTCAATCATCCGAGTTTCTATAAACCTACGCCGAAAGTGTCTTTGCCAGGGCCCTCCTGATGGAGAGACATCTCCAGGGAGAAAGAGCTGGCATTCGATCCTCTGAGACAGAGCCATGAAAAGCAGCCCGATGCTTCACTTATCCCTAAGTTTTTAACTGGCCTGATTTGTGTTTTCGCTAAAGAGATGTAAATAATGACTAACTGCTGGGGAATAAAACTGTCTGTAGCTAGCAGACCAGACCATGCATCCTAAAAAGTCTCTTCTAATTGGGAATTTCCAGATTCTAGGATTTTTCCTTTCTTCCAGGCTGTACTTGAAAAAAAAAAGTCATGAGAAGATAAGACATAAGAAAACTTGCATCCCTCTGTCTCTCGCTGTCTCTCTCTCTC